TAACGGTTCGCATATTTTCGTAATAATGGATTGCCTTCGCTGGTTGATAAACGCGACGATGTAAATCACCAAGTGCACTATARATGAAAATCAGCATCTTGGCATCGAGYAGAAAACGAGCTATCACCAAACATTCCTCTAACAARKAGATGAGGAATTGTTCTTGTTTTGAGTGTGAGAAGGGTTTGTTTTCTTCGTCACACAGTTCCAATGCATATGCCGTGCAAAACCTGATAAAGAGTTGTACGATCTTTAAATCCATATCTGTATTTATTTTCTAAAGGAAAAACAAACGTAAAATATTAGAAAAAAGCAGTTATAATTAGTGTTTTTTTACAGTTAAAAAAACCTCTTTGCCGGCGTGTTTCGAAATCTAACCCTCCAAAAACAAACAGAATCCAAGAGGAAAATGACCACTTCAAAAATGTTCACCAGCTATTGAAACATCTTTATTGAGCTTTTTCRTATTTCAAGAATGTAAAGGTTCGGTTTAAAAACGATATTTTGACTACATGTGAAAAGYCGTTAAGATTTTCGACACAGGCAGCCCAAACCCCGTACTTCCCCAGATGCAGTGAAGTCTGCACTTGATGTGATTGACATTTCGAAAGGTCAGTGATGTCAACCAGTCCTTCTTGGAGCTCGATCCAAGTCATATGATTCCCGTTCAATTACAATTCTGAAAGAATCATTAATTTCAAACGCTAGATTGACTTAGACTTAGATGGCCTAGCATAACCGTCACTTCAACTTTTGAGTGAAATTAAAGCCTACATGACCCCTCAGGAAATTAAGTTACTGAAAAAGTACCTTCGACTTTATTAATTAACGTCATATCGATCGATGAACTTTTAAAATGTGACTGAAATGTGCTTACCTACTTGCAAACTCCTACCGGTTGGCTTGACTGACGGCTTGACTTGTGTACTGAGTGTACTATGTGATAAATTCGTTTTGAAAGTATATTATMCGCGCAGGTTTATATGAATTCAATCACTGAAAATCCTTTCCTCCATTGACTCGAACGAAACTGTTTTGGGTTCGAAAATGAAATAGACCCTGTMTTGTGATGGATATTCACTGACGTCAGTTCCACAGGGAACCCAAAGAACAACCTATCAAGAGGACTGTAAAATGGTCTAATAGTACAACAAAGGGCTAACATGACCCGTCTCTACTACTCCACAAACATTTTGAGCATGAAAGTAKAGCAAAGATAAAAACATTACTTTTATAGGATCGTATGCATTTTATTCAAGAGATATGACACTGCCTCAAGGTTATTATTTTGCTGCGATGCGATCACAGACAGACAGACAAACGATGTCTGCGATGTGTTTGGTGCCGTGTACCGCCAAATTATTGCGATGATTATAAAAGTAGCTAGACGATCATAGATCGCTTACGTGGGGTTCCAGTAGCTGCGACAATGGRTCAGCTGCCGCCATTAAGCTATAAGTATTTCATTTTAACGATATAGTCTTTGTTTGCAATAAGTCAAGACAGAATTAAGTTAATATTAYAATTTATTTACTACATCATAGTTTTTAACCGAACTGAACTCTGAGTAGCTTCTTTAAATATCCTATCTTTCCCAGTTTTCCAAATTTACGCTCTAAGAGCGTCTATATTATTCAAAATATGCAAATTCCGTGAGATTTAAATATTACCTGAAAGGTCATATAAACAATAGAAACGGTACAGTCTTGTCAGTATTGTAACTTTGAGTARTATTTTGATCGTTTGAATCATGTGATACAGACAACCTTGAGTTCGTGGACCGGCCCGTTCCGAAAATTACGCTGAACATCTTTTAGTGTGGGTCTACCGCGAACGGCGTGTGCGTTTATWAGTGAGATCAGCGTTCTAGGGATGATTTCCTTCATTTTCTTGATCAGCTTGCTTTTCTTGGTCACAAACGAGGTCACAGTAGCAATAAAGTGAAGCTAGATGTCGCGATCAGGCCACGAGGCCGACTGATCTACAAAACAATGCATGTCAAAAATTAAAGTAAACGCGGATTGATTTAGTGACCACCTCATGGAAACTGAGACTGCAGACATGCAACACAGGCGCTTACAATTTAAAACCCAATATTGCAGCCCACGTAATAATATGTTTTTCGATATTTTATTATATTAATCTTTCCATTCCCAGGAGAAAAATCACTTTACTGTTATTTAGGAAAAAAATACATATAAAATTGAAAGATTTGCTAACACACTAGCATTAGAACTCTACGTAGCCTAGGAAACAAGATGTTGCGAAGGAAACTATAGTTCCTTATCGAAAAAAAAAAAAAAAACAAGAAAAGTGATATGAAAACATTTAATTTGTTTAGAGGAAAACGTATAAAATCATACAGCAATCTTTCTGCACAGTTTTGGTTTAAAAAGGACTTGTTTACACTAAAGTGATGACATTCATTCTTTAGTTTTTATTAATGTTAATGTCATCGTTGAAATGTAGTCAAGAATGTGCGTTTTATCCTTAGGATATTTTACGGAAGTGTATACTTCRGGGGAGTGGGGTTGGGATTCTTTCTTTTAAGAAGGGAGAACACTTGATTGGAATTAACATATGAGTTTCATCCACAAACAATGAGGCAGTAGTTCAGATAATAATGTGTTTCCCCCCTCCCAACTTGTGCCCACTTCATGAATGATCAAAGTCACCTTTGAAATTATGGTGTACGTAACCATCACTGATATTCTTTTAGGACTAAAGAACTGGAATTGGAAATCCCCAAAAACAGATCAGTGATGATATCCCAATTTTAAATTCGGTAAAGGGACTCAAAATTATTGCAAATTGCTGTATACGGATAATAACAAGTATGTAGATAAACAATGAATACCAGAAAAAAATAAAAAAAAATCATACTTGTAGTCAATAACGTCTTGATATTAGGCCTAACTCCAAAACATGTGAGAGAGAGAGTTTTATGTTACTAATTTTATCAGGTGGCTATTGCATGGTAGCTACATAAAGAACATAAATTATAATAAACAATTAACATCATCCCTTTTTTTTTCAATTTTCAATTAGTGTTACTTGTCATTTCTCGATGTTTTTTGCACSTGTTCTATGAATTCTCCACTTAAGGTGWAACGAATCATTTGTGAAAAATATTTGACAAATTATACAAAAACATGAAAATGAAAATGCACWTTTCTGAASTTTCGACCCATCATTAATTATGCAAGGACAGTTCATCGATGGATTGCTGTGAATACACATCGTTATCTATTTTAAAGCGTCCTTTACTTAGAAAAGTCRCAGAC